ACTTATTTTTCCTGAAACATAGAACAGTAAATAATGAAGTAAAGCAAACAATTATCTCTTCTAGTTACGATTTTTGTACTCATTTGCTGCTTTATGTAAGTTGCTAAGCCATTAAAAATTTTGCATGTGGAGGACATGAAACAAAATATTTTTTTTAGGTTTTATATATACTTTTGAATAACTAAAAAATCATAAGTTACTACATCAATACCATAGAATTCTATTATAATTTATCAAATGTAGTAACTAAGCTGTATTTTGGTCTAAAAAAAATATGAAATTTCAAGCAAAGATACAACCTATATCATTGAAATCTTGATTTAAAAGAAAGAAATGATGCTAGGTACGTTATAAAGGCTTAGAAAACCACTAGGGGACATTCTGAGCTTCCGATTGGTTATCAGGTACCTGATGATGACAAAACCTTGTCGAAACGTTGTACATTTGCTGTTATATTAAAGTTTTTCTTCATTACCCATTCAAGCCGTCTCCAGCCATTATTACTGGGTCTTCATTTATTTTGCTGTCGACCGTTGATGAAACTTAAGCCTGCTTTTCTTGTACTGATAGTACTTCCACATTGAATAAATTTTAATTTAGTTAGATACTGCACCTAAGATCACAGAATAATAACATGTAAAAAGCAAACAATGTCCTATAACTATCATAATTTTTCTGGCTTTCTAACTGTGCAAAAAGATTTTTTAATACTTCAAATAAGCTCCTCAATGTGTTTTTCCTGGGAATAAAGTTTAAACTGGAAGAGAATTAGAAAATTATATTTAAAGAAAACAATGTAATGTAATACATATTGTTAAATACCAGAGAGAACTATTGGTAATTTGTGGAAGAGAGGATGTGACTGGTGGGCATGGCAAGATTTTCTAGTTTATGGCTCTGTAACCAAATAAGATTGAAGACTATAAAAATTATGGTTCTCCTGAGTAATTTATGTCACATTCCATACTTCTAGGAGGGCTGGTATATAAATTAGAGAAGAGGGAAGACCTATAGAGCAAATGTCACAGTTTTCATACTAGGGGAGATATTGCTCGTGTAATAAATCAAACATAGTGGCACCCCGCCCACTTCTTTCTATTTTTGGAAACACTCCCTTTTATACACTTACTTCTATGTATGACATGAATTGACATTTCTTGGGATGGAGTTTGAGGTTTGCTGCTTTCAAACGCTTGAATACTTCCTCTAGCCGGGACATTTCCTCATCAAAAGTTGTTGCAAATACAATGACATCATCCAGGTATACTAGGGCTATCCTCCATTGTAAAAATCAGAATTTTATTAGGTTAGATGAGAAAAATTAAAAGTAAGAAATTAATTAAAAATATATAATTGATAGCATGAACACATCTAGTGAACACAACATGTTATAATTTGACAAGTGTGCTGTTAGTTTGATGCTTTATTTACATAATGCTTCCCTGCTATGATAATTTGCTTTGGTGCTAATCTAAGTGGCAGTAAAGTAATAATTCTAGATGACCAGAAGATTTGAATTGTATTAGCTGTGTCTGTAAGAACAAATATCATGTAATTGTCTGTAACAGTATGCAATCATTCCAGAAAGAAAAAAGGTAATTTAGATTTATTTCGTATATTTCTGTGGTGGCTACATAGTTGGTCAAATGGACCATGCCTGTATACAGTTTTTGGGTAGAGAAATAACATAAAATAAGTTTTACTGTGAAAACTTTTGATATTCATCTAGGAGATTCTAGAGTTTGTGTAAGTGAATATTGAAAACTGTAAAATGGAAGATGTATTTTTAATCTTAACATGAAAAACACCTTGTACTCGGAGTAATCAGTCGATCACACTATGCCTCCATTAATTTACAGACATATCTATAATAAAGAATACATAATTAAAAAATCTGATGTTTTGTATACAAAAACTTGTTTACTAAAAGCTTGCCAAATTTTGTTATGAAACACTTGCTACATTAAGTTATAATATCTATATTTTTATGGTTACATGGTGGTTACAAGGTTGGTAGTCAAAATGACCAAGCCCATACAGATAGGGTTAAATTATCAAATTTTGGGTTTAAATTCAGGGGTATGTAATGGACGAATTAAGAGGAATGTGGGCAAAACATCTACAGTTTACCTGATGTTCATCACAGCTTTTAGACATAAAAAAAGTTTAAAATAAAAATGTTATATTCAGTGTTATGTGTTGGTACAAATTATTTTTCTCTTTTCTACAGAATGTGATTCAATGAAAATATGTTAAGTGTAATTTTGTTTAGGATGCTCTTACTAATTGTTTTGTGATGATGATGAAAAGATTCACTTGTTTAATTTCCAAAAATAAATTTACTTGTAAAAGCAAATATAAAGCTTTAATTGTTTTTGTGCTTGTTGGAAAATGCTATGTTTAAATAAATACAAAATCAACTAAAATTTTTTTTTCATTTCTGGTGTGTATCATTGCACCTGTATTAAGAAAGTTATTATGTAAACCATAAAGTTGTTTTACAACGAGTGACATGACCTAAAATTTTAATATATATTTACATATTCTGCTAGTTTAAGGTAATATTCTGATACATATTTGTTTGATACTTTTTAAAGTAATACCTTGTCTTAGGTTGCTAGAAGTTACCTATACAAATGATGAAGTTCGGGAACTTCTTGATGACCTTTCTACCATTGTTAAAGGAGAAGTGGAAACAGAATTGATAAATTCTGCTCATATGAATGTACTCTTGTTGAGGCAGCTCTGCTCCCAAGCTGAAAAGTGGCACCTTAGTCTGGAAGCGGATGTTTCTGAACTGGAAAATAGGTGCATTTTTTAATATTGAGATAAATTAAGATGAATAAATAGAGCTTTATCAGGAAATTATTTTCATGTAGAAGACAGTACATGGATAGGAATTTGTGTTCTGTAGATGACTTGAGATTTTTTTCTGAAGCATTTCAAATGTTATTGATGGATTGTTAAAGTAAGATTCAAATGTTGGTTGAATGTATGCCTGAAAAAGCAAATAGGATCACCTGTATTAGTGGTGCAACAATTTATCAAATATCAATGCATTGTGATACCTTATGAAACAATACAATACAGAATTCATATTTTATGTATTGAGATACAATGAAACTATTCAGTTGGAAATGGAATTTTATGATGATAATTACAATGTATTTGGAGTGCCTCTGTATTTCTTTTGTCATCACTATAGATTGAAGGACTGCAGAAAGTCTTCCCACCTTCCCATTGTTCTGTGTACAGTTTAATTTGAAGTAGGTTTAATGTTTCCTGTAACTAAATTAAATTACAAAGTTATGGAATAAAATACAATATGCAAGCTATGCAAAAAACAACAAATCTTTCCAAGAGAACACAAAGCCTCGAGTTTTAAATATTTATAATTTTTCAAAGTATAGCAAGTATTTTATACATTAAAACACATTTTAAAATACATTAAACTTATTCAGCATCTCATGTCCTCTTCAGGTTTTTATTAATTATTGTATTTTACTAGAGCTGAGAAGTTAGTAGAATATGTTAATCACTTACATTGAACTAATTGATTATTCTCACATGAAACCTGGAATAATTGAGAATGGTAATAACTGGAAACATTATTTTTGGTTTGTGGATTATTATTCTGACATAAATATATTTAATAGTAATTTTAATTGATTATTTTATGGGACATTTAAGTTAATCAGTGGTCATGGGTAATTGATTATATTGAATAAGCAAGTTACCACCTAGTTCTATATCATACACATGTATAAGTACTATTATATTAATGTCCTGAAACTCTGCAGGATAGATAGCTAAAAAGACATTTAAAATATCTATTTAATGTTTTGGCAAAAGGATTAAACATTTATGAGTTGGATCTATGTTTCCTGAAATTTAAACAACCAAATTTCAGATCTCAATTCTACCACTTCCATTTGTGAGAAATACAATCTTTCAGAAATTGGTGAATTTTGTGTATACATCCCTGTTAGTATCTTGCTTAATAGTCCATAAGTACAGCAGAGTACTTTTTTATTAATAATTTAACCTGTAAGGAAAGAACTCACTGATATAGATTTCATTTTGTGTTATTATTGAAATTCAAAACTGGTAAATATTGTCTAATTTCTACAGTGTATCATGAAAAGTATTGTATTGTGACCTTTATGTACCACCTCACACCTAGTCTGCATATTTTAGTTGAGCTGGGAAACTAAGGGTGGGATAAAGCATAACTTTGTTATTGGATATTTTTGCTGTACCATCTATGATTTACAATTTATCTAATCTCATACAAGCTTCATTCATGTAATAATTTGAATTATTTCATATTTCAAAAATGCTATTGATAAAAACTTTACGTCAGTTACCAACTTTGATGTTCACATTTTTTCTTGCCATCTATGTGTGAATTGTCCTTTACCATATTTAGCATAGTTTAATTTTAGAGGGTTTATATCTTGCATTTAAGTTGAGACAGTATTTCAGTGAATTTGTTGGAGTACAGTCCTTCATCTCACAGTCCAGGACATAATGGCATTGTTTGCTAAAGGCCTTGGTAAATCCCTGGTGCTAGTTCACTATGGTAACTAAACATTTCATTGTATTGCCTCGTATTTCCTTCCATTTTATTCGTATGTAGGGCTGTGCTAAATAGAACTTGAATCTAGAACAGTGCTGGACTCTTGGTAGTTTGGAATTATTTTCTTGTTTTTTGAGCTCTAAATCAAACTTTGTTTTAAGGATTTTATGATGGATTTAGCACTTATCTGTTTTTTTTTTTAAGAATGAAGTGCTGCGGTTGCACAAATTAGTAATTTCTTTTTTGTTTTTCTTCTTTCTCTCAATACAACCAATCAATGTGCTTGTTTAGACTCAGACCATAGGCACTTAGTTCAGACAATACTATCAAGTGGTTGTTGATATCATGTGATTGTTAGCATGCACTCATTGTTGTGAAAGTATATATATATATATATATATATATATACACACACACACATTTCCTAGTACAAACAGTAAAGTTAGGTTAGGTTAGGCACATCTGGCTCCTGAGTTTTTGAACTGGCTCCTAGATCTGAAAATATTTGAATATTTTTATGCTTAAAATGAAAATCACCTTGCACTTGAAATGTTTAGGGTTTGAGTGCAAATACCTATTATAGGTAAATAACGCATATCTAGTAGAAGGTCTTAGTTAAGATAATGTCATTCTTTGTGCACGAGATACTTATAATCTTTAGCAAAATCTTACCAAATTTTGTGAGGATATCTCAGAGTTACTGTATGTAGTGTTGCATAAATGTCCTTCCCCATTCGAGCTATTGTAAAATACATCAGCCTGTATCGAAAAGGTTAAAGTAATTTTGGGATATTCTGTTGATAGATATGTTGTTTGTGTTCTAAAATGCATATCTGAAAGCTACATAAATTATTTTTTGTACTCTCAAATGTATTTGATTCAATGAGACAAATGAGCTAAAATATGCAGTAATTACTACAAATCCTTGTTTTTATGAATATATATTTTATTTATTGTAAGATATTTTTAACAAAAGAAATCAAAATGTAAAAATTAGAAAATTCTCAGCTTAGCCTATGATATAAAATGTCATATAATTCACAAGACACCTTACAGTTATGTGCTGATTATGTTAGCTGTAAAGGAAGTGGCTAATGGGATCCCACTATAATTTATTACTTGTGATGCAAGGATTACTGCTCTAGTGGGTACAAAGTACAACAATAAAACCATAAATAAGAGAGGAACAAGTATGAAAAGGTTAACAGTTGAAGATAAGTAATTTGGCAATTTCTGATTAATACTGCATTCAATGCAGAGGAAGAAATAACATTATTTATTTTATTTCATATTTTCAACTTTTCATTTGAATCTATAGTTATGTTTTTGCTACAGTTAGCATTAGGGTGGAGAAAATAAGAGATAAAATACAAAGATTTACTGAAAAAATGTGATATTTATTAAGGAGGTTCTAGAGCTTATGTAAATAAAGTATGAAAACTGTAAGACGAAAATAAGTATTTTTATTCCTAGCATGAAAATCATCTTTCATGCGGATTGTCTTGCTAAAGGATTTTGAAATTCACAGACAAATCTTTAACAAAAATTCTTTATTAAAATATCAGATTTTTTGCATACACAAACTTGTAATGTTTAATAAAAGTTTGTCAAATTTCATGAAGATACACCTTGGAAATTCAGAATTACTATATATAGCTTCACAGACAAGGGGTCAGTCAATTTACTGAACCCATGAAAAGATGGTTAAAAAAAAAAGAAGAGTTAAACTATTGTATTTTTAACCTGAAACAAGCTGTACATTATGTTCACTTCCAGAATGTAGTAAAAACCATCTTGAATGATATATTCTTATTGTACTTCATCATGCCAGATCAAAACATCAGCAAACTTTACTATCTCTGCAAGGATGCAACTAGTTACTTTTTCTCAATTTACCTAGATATTATTTTTAACATTTATAATTTATACCTTATTGACATTTAATAGTCACAAGCACAAGGTTTTTGTTTTATTTCACCACAATAGAAACATAAAGAAACCTGGTCTTCTTGCAACATTTGTGCTCTTACTTTATAATATTAACTCTCTCAATATGGGCTCCGTAAAATTGACTGACCACGTGACCACTTTGCACTTGTTTAACCCTTTCACTGTGCAATTAATTTTCTGGCTGATTCCCAAAAAGTGTCATTTATCCACATAGAAACTCCTTCCATCAGTGAATTTCAAAGCCTCCATCATATAATAGCATGTTAGAGGATGTATACTATAATTCCTGTATGTCAGTGATATGTATAACAAACGTAACACATAAGTAACACGGAGAGTTAAAGTGCACGTCATCACGTGGTCGGTCAGCTGAGGCATATAAAACATCCACAATAAATAAACACAGTATTTTGAAAATTGTTTAATCTCAAAGTTTTAAGTTTGAAGGAGATTCAGTTCAATCTACACTTTGATCAGTGTGTGTTTTGGGTTATACTAGTTTCGGAGAATTCCACTCCTCATCAGTAATCCTGAACACAAGTTAACCAGATGTTTGATACTTTTCGCTATGATATAGGACCAGCTTATCTCTCTCTGATTAACTTGCATTTAGGGTTACTTATGAGGAGTAGAATTCTCTGAAGCTAGTAGAACCCAGTAACACACATTGATCAAAGTGTAAATTGAAATGGACCTCCCTCGAACTTAGACTTTGAGTTTAAACAATTTTTGGAATGCTAAGTTTATTTGTTATACCTGCTGTTGTGCAGCTAAATAATGTGAAGAACTGAATATTGGCCAATGAAACTTTTTCTTCACTTTACTTCACTTATCCAGTGTATAGGTTTTTCTTGTATGTATAATATAAACATCCAGGTTTCATGGCATAAAACACAGATGGCAGCACACGTGCAGGTTTGACAATTATTTCAAGTAAGGGGGATATTCCACATGTTGCATTAGAGGGACACGTTTTTTGGTAGCCGTAAGGTAAATTTGTATTTTGCAGTCAGTGGGTATAAATATATACTGAACTACACAGGAAAAGAATGTCATTATAATTTGAGAACTACTAACTTTTAATAAACTGTGTATATCTTTACAAAATTTGGTAGAATTTCAGTAAATATTTTAAGTCTTTCAAATACAAAAAATCAGACTTTTCAGTGTAGTATTTTTAATAAGCTAAAAAAATGTCCGTGAATATATTGAGTCTTTTTTTTACTAGTCTGGGTGCAAAGTGATTTTCATGTTAAGATTACAAATACTTTTCTTCATC